AAGCTGCAGGGTCTTCCAGGCTCCCTCGTTGCCCTCTCATCCCTCCCCACAGCCTCCGTCTCCAGCCTTGCCCACAAACTCCAACTTCCCGCACAATTCAACAAGGCCGCCGCGTATCTACCGCAAGTCTCCTTATCCATCGCCAATGTCTCCTCAACCGGTATCACTGTATCCCTGAGTCGTCGCAACCCTCCCACAAACCCCGAACACAGAGTCTACGCGCCTCGCTTCCCGAAGCCCCAAACGGAGGGATACTTCCTAATCGTCTGCAGCGCCTCGGCGGACGGCAAGGACGGCGAGCTGCTTGCTTTGAAGCGCGTGTCCTGGCCTTCCAATAACAAGAACCAGAGTTCGAATTCCGGCTCTGGCTCCAGCCGGAATTCCTCCGGCAGGAATAATCATCGGAATGGTCCGCTCACTGTGCGGTCGTCTGTCAAGTTCCCGCAGGATTTCCTGGCGCAGTATACCAGTGCCACCGGGAAGGGCGTGAATGTCAAGGTTATCAGCGATACCTATCCGGGGATGCAGTGGGTGGTTTCGAATGTGGAGGTAGAGATGAAGTCTGAGACGCAGAGTGTGCCTGAGTCGTCGAACTACCCTGAGAAAGCGTAATTTGCTCCCGGTCGAGGGACAAGCCAGGGGGAATATGGCATTTGCACTTTTTCCTAGAATATAGACAAGATGATAGATGCGAGAAAATCTGAAATGGGAACGTTGACTCATCATATATGGAAATTCTAAGAGTATAACCTAAGATACTTCGCGCCCCTGGTCCTTCCTATCACCTGTACTGCCCGCAGATAAATATGTACACAAGAAAAGATCTGCCTGGCACCACCGACGCAAACAATGGCTGTAGCCGAGAGATCGAGCCTCAATGCAATGCAGAAGCTGAAATGGATGTAAATAAACAATAGATCGTCACCAAGAAAATAGAAGAAAAGAAATTCGCTGCCTGTGCTGAGACACGAGCAAACGAATAGTATAACGGAATGCTCATGCAGAGGTCTAAATAGTTTCGATGCGTGCGTCCTGTGAATTCCCATGCCGATGGCCGTGGTGCGCGTCTCGTACCTGTGGGGTCTTCGCCTGTCGGACTACGAGCCTCTCGTCGGGATTCAGTCTCTCCGCCCTTGGCCTGATAGGTACGATGACCTGCTTCTTTCCTCGCGAGACGGAGACAGATCTGGCGATGGAGACTTCGACCTTGGGGATGGGGTCCATGGCCTCGTTCGCGTCGATGTCCTCGTTATCGTCGCTGAGAGGCATGCGTGTGGTCGAGAATGGGGAGAGAGCGGAGAGAGTTTCCATTGGAGATCTGATGCGCTCGGTCTTGTCGCGCGCGGCGGAGTTGATGGGTGAGAGGTGGGGCGATGGGGCGGAGCTTATGCTGGACCTCGTGGATGGCAAGGCTTGGGTGTTTATGGTTAAGGCCAAGGGTGGTGTTCTCTGCCTCGGGCTCGGAGTTGGGTTCTGAACAGGGCTGGGACGTGGACTTGAGGCCTCGCTTGTCGGCTTCTTGCTGATAATTTCCCATTCAGGCTCCCGTTCTTTGTCCACGTAGACTTTCGTCTGTTTGAGTTTCTGCAGAAGGCGCTCCTCCTCGGTCGAATCCATTGACACTGTCGATGAGACGGAGTCCTTGGTTTGATGCGACACGGGGGACTTGATGGATGGACTCTGCACCATCAAGAGGACGTGATTTGGATCATTTGTAGGTGTCTGTCGGCCTAATCCAGAGAGCGATGTTTGGCTTCGATGCAAAGGGCTGGGGCCTCTTGGTATGTTCTGAGAGCCCAGAACCTTCGACGCCTTACTGACAGGCGCTTGCGTGGGGAACAGATTGAAGCTGGGAAGTCGTGGTTGCGGCGATGTCGCCCGTCGTCGAGGTGATTGAAAGTCCGGTGGTGGTATGGATGCCTAATCACGGCTTCAGTCAAAGAAACATGGTTGCATAGCAAATCAGTATACATACATCTGGCCGTGGGATCCTCACATCCTCCAAAGTCTTACTCCGCCTCTTCAACAACGAGGGCTCGTTTTGATTCAGAACACCGCCAAACATGACGCTATACCTTTCTAGCTGGATATCCGGAATGTCGATTTGCAGAAAAGGTCCTGCAGCGCGCGGCTTTGCACCAGGTACAAGGTCATTATTCTTGACCGAGTCTTGAGGAGCCGTCTTCAAGCTGCTTTGAACGTAGGATTTGGGTTCATTCTCCCCCTCGGGACACGGCCATATCTCTAAATTTGGAAGATTAGGAGGCGCAGGAGCCATGTTCTCAGGCTCCGATTTTTCAGCCTCGCATTGGTGTTCGTAGTCGACTGAATGGCTGGACTCCTGTAGAGGCCACTCCTCAGTATAGCGAAGCTGATAGAATGGCTGGTTGGCCGGAGCTGGCAATGCATTCTTGGCCTTGAACAATCCCCCAATCTTCCTCCATTTGCTCGGTTTGCGCTTGGGGGTTTTCGTTTGGGGCGAGGCTTGTTCGGGGCTCGCGGAAGTTGAAACGGGCGGCTGTTCTTGCACTTGCGAGAGTATACTCTGCGGTTCTGCCATGCGAGGGCTACCTAAGGCTATGCCGATCATGTTTGCGTTCAGATCGTCATCAGGGCTCTTGGGTAAAGGTACCGCTTCAGCGGGAGGTACGGCGATCTGAAAGTCGAAACCGGGATTGAGACCTTGCCCCTTCTTGATCGGTTTACGTCCATCTGCTGTCCTGGGGCGCTGAAAGTCCCATTGCGCAACGGCGTGGTTTACAGGGCGGCTGTTGTTGGCCACGCTCTCGACATCTCTCAGGTCGGTCCGTGGTAATGCGTCGGAATACTTCATAACCGGGTTTGAAATGATCTCTATTGCCTCTGGTGCGCGCGACCTCCCTAAGAAGATGCCTCGAGCCATTTTGGCTAGCCGACTGCAATAAAAAGGAAATGAAGCGGGAGTACAAGGACAGAAGGAAAGAGTGAACGTGAGTCTAGGGAATGAACGAAAGACACAGTCTCGAAATTATAAAAGTAAACGAATGGACAGCCTTCCAGAAGGCCTTCACAGTGGTCGTGAGCAACGGCGGGTGAGAAGCAGCACCAGCAACGACAGCGAGAGTGGCTTCAAGTCTGATAATAAAGGGAGGCGCGGACACGATTCGCTCTGGTGTCTAGTAACTAACCATTGTGGAGCAACAGGCACAGATTGCCTCTGGTTGATATTGTTGGTAGTGGGCTGGCTAGTGTCAGACTTTAGATTAAATGTAGATTTGACGACGCCATTAGATATTTATCTAAGGGACACTTCATCTAGCGCCGCCTCGGGACAAGAGACGATCAACCGAATAATCTGTGTAGCGCGAGCTGCACACTGTCCATCTGACCAGCGTCGCCAGGAGAAGGGACGCGCTGAGCGATGCCAGTGCATCAGCGCACACCGCAGTCAGCCCTGGACGCCATGAAGCGTCGCACAGGATGCTTGATTTGATTGCAGTATCGAAAGTTGTCGCAGAATTCGAGTCAGATCATCCAGCGTCGAACCACGGGCGAGCAAGATTCGGGTATTCCGCTGGCCTACCAATAACAACATCAAATGAAAGAATCCCGGAGCTCCTGTTAGGATGCCCGAGACATTGAAGTGCGAAGTTTCATTCTTTCTGAAACAACGGTGGATCAGCCAATGACCTTTCAACACCCGAGAGACTAAGGTAGTTTCAATCTCTCACATCTGGCTAACAATCCGGGCCGTCCTCTCCGTCCACGTAATGAATTGGCACTCACGGTACCTTGGCAATTATTGGAGGAGGGTGATAATATCAACAAGTAGATATATGCTAAGCGCCAGGAGCTGCCGTGCACAGCACAGGCCTTTTGTCAATTGTCACTCTATGACCCTGCAATAAGGCTGAGTTGTCTGGTAATTCGCCCGGTGGTCTGGAAACTCCAGGGAGGATTTTCGCAATGGACAAGGGTTTAGAGCATAGATGTCTCCCTTTCAAGAGAATGCAATAGAGGTAGCTATCCCTCTGGCAAGGCAATTATGGACCTCGCCATGAAAACGGATCTTCCGTGTAGCTATTTCGATTGCGAATGTTGTGTCACTAGATGAAAAGCACCCTGCATCGTATTGTCGCTATCAATAACATTTTCCTGTATCGTCGTCTATTCTTACATGAAGCGACATATGGAATGGTAGAGTCATCTGCACGATAGAGTCGTGGTAAGATGTCTTCGAGGTTATTGAAGAAACCAGCAAGAATCCCAAAGCAGCAAGAGACACACATGATCGCCGCGTGACTCGCTGACTAGTGTACAGAGATGACAGGCACGTGCTCCATAAAAATCCATGACCCCATGAGACAAAGATATCAAGTACTTAGGCTACGACATCCCAAGATAGGCGCCGAGCAACCCTTCAGTATGACGAGAGTCGGGCGCATACAACGACGAGACCAAAACAGTTCAGACCAGAACAGGCGGTGAAGAAGACCCTGTTGATGACAGCAAGAAATAGTGGGAAGGCCAAAGACAAACTCTGTTGATCGGTGGGTGTTGCTGGGTTTCTGTTTAAAGTGGAACTGTGGAAAGAGACTTGCACGTACTTAGACAAAGCAGCAGAATAGCCTAGCAACTATCGTCAACTAAGGCGGTTGCCTTCCATACTAGAGCCGTTGTGATACAACTGCTGAAAGTGACAAGATGGAGACGCTGGATAATATCACAGTGCACTTTGGGGATCAATATATCAACAGGCCCTAGAATGGGACTTTGGATAATATTATGATAGCGAGCAATGGAATCAATTGTCAGTCACAGACTCGCTGACTGTCAGTATCACCATCACGAAGAAGAATGGCGGGGCGTTGCCTCCCAGACGGATAGGATAGCCCACCCCACCTTAACCTGACTTTACCTACCTTAGCTTGTCGTTGCTGTCTCTCTCGCCCACCACTCTAAATATCACCTTGTGCTCTCTTCCCCTCTTCAACTCACAACCACCACTCATCATCTCCAACTTTTTGCTGTGACTTCTTGTCGCTTTCTTTTCTCCTCTTTCCGTCAGTTTAATCCCTGCTTGTCCGTCCCTCTTGGCTGATCTTATCTAACGACTCGACAATATAGCTTCCCCTTATCCGCTCCATCCCGTTAATTTGTTTACACCACCGCCAACATGGGTCAGCACTCGGCAGTTTGGCAAGGTACAGCTATTTCGTTGGATATGCCGTTATAGACTTTAGCAGGTTGTTATCACAGAAGATAAAGCAAAGCTAACGTCTGAATTCTACCGAACAGGATATGTTGATTCCAGGTACCATACAATCCCACCTCTACCCCGCCTTCGCTGCATCACCAATATTCTTCATCCACTTTTTTTCTGACCTGAGCCAAATCTACTAGTCTGATGGGCTCCGGCCAGTTTGACAAGGCCGCCATCCTGAGCTACGACTTCTCCGACGTCGAGGCCCAGTCCCCTAAATTCCAGGTATGAAGAACGTTCCGACATTGGCATCCCATTTGGCGGAGCTCCGGCCCAATCCCTGGCGATGTCCACGGAAACAAGCACCCCTCCTGATCACATCAATAACTTTCTCGCCTCGCTATAGATCTCGAAGGAGGAAATCGCTGGTCTGAAGGCTGCTTTCGACAAGCCCGGCAGTGCTTTCGCAACCGGTTTTGTGGTCGGAGGAGACAAGTTCGTCGCCATCAGGGCTGATGACCGCAGTCTCTACGGCAAGAAGGTAACCAACTATATTTTCATATACAGTTATCGACCTTCCGAAGTTACGACTGGTGAAATGGTGAATGCTAACGGTCAATCACTATAGGGCAAGGAGGGTATCGTCGTCGTCAAGGCCGTCTCTTGCGTCATGCTCGCCCACCACGGCGAGGCCGTCCAGACCACCAACGCCGCAACCGTTGTCGAGAACCTCGTCGACTACATCAACAACCCCCGGTAGACGATAGAGGAGCGCGGAAAATGAAGTTGTCTCGATTGTTCGATTTCCTATATCTTTTTTTATTCCGAAACGGCAGAAGAGCGGTGTACCACTTTTTCCTTAGTCGGATGTGAAACTATGCTGGTGACCTTTCTTCTCAGCGTCATGTCTTAACTGTCCATAGCACGTAGATATCTTCAATATGTACTTGGTTTTAGTACACTCACGATTCTAGAGATGGCAATGCTTGAATCATATGAATATGCGCAAGCTCTTACGCACGATCTCGATGCACACCAAGCGTTGGATTTGCCTGTTTCTATTCTATATATTATATAGTGCATCAAAGAAAGATAAGAGTCAGTGGCAGGAGACTGCTACCGACGCACGAAGGATTAGTAATTACAAAGTATAAGATTTATATCACATCAGCTCACACAGACCCATCCCTTTTGGCCCCGCTCAACCTCTGATGAAGCGAAGCTGCGAAAGTGGTCGTGATCTTCATGCCGTGTCATGGCCGTCTGAAATCGTTCATGTCTGTATAGTCGTACACGTAACATCGTGGATACTCCTTTTAGTCCCCCGGGGTAGACTCTCGCCCAAGGACAGCCGATCTCTGGCGTGCGTTGTGGTCATTATACCGGGAGCTCTGCGTTCCGTCTGCCACCGGCCAGAGTCTCCAATGCCGTCTTGATATAAGGACCAACGACCGGGATGTTCCCTGCGAATTGACCGATTGTTACGAGGAAGTCGCCAAAGAGGATGAAGAGACCGTATAATTCGACGAGGAAACCTATCAGTGGCCAGCGAAACAGGATGAGGAGGATGCCTGCTGCGAAGGCGGCAGTGCCCTTGAGTTTTTGGCGGCGCGAAAAGAAGGCGAGTGTCCGTTGGACTCCAATGATTAACGTCAAGCCGATGAGGAAAAGGACCTGTTGCGACGTTAGTTATGGTCTTTCGGAGGTTGTCGTGTGATCAATAGCAGCGCGGGATTTGCGAGAAGGGGGTTACGAACGTTTCCCATCGCGAGTCTGTGTTAGGTTCCAACGTTAGCATGAATGTTCCCCCCTAGGAGGTATATTAAAAGGATACATACAGCGAACGGTCAAAGAACATCAGAACGCCTCCGAACAGGAACAGGCCCCCTATACACGCACCATGTCAGTCCCTGGCTGAGCATATCGGCGGAACGAAGAAAAGGGGAGAGGATCCCCGGAGTGGATTCAGTCTCGCCTACCTGCTGAACAGAAGATAACACCAATTTCTGTTATACATGTTAGCAAGCGCTGTTGATCGGATGATGCTCCGGCGGTCCTACTTTGGTTGTCTGAGAGCCACATGGTGGGCATCTTGAGGGTTGGCCAGGTGAATCGCGGAGAGTATCACTGTACACAAATCGAGGGGACACGCTGCTCGCGTATAGGGATCCCAGGTTAGCCGAGTGTCGCGACGATGAGTACTTTGTAATCAAAGAGAAATCTGGAGTTGTTGTACTCGAATCTGGCAGAAACTCAAGAAAACTCCCTAGGACACAGTAAATAGACGCATTGCTCCCAACATTTTCGTTTCTGCCACGTTCGTTTTTGGTTCTGAGCATGGTGTTTATGCCGGATGCGGTGGGCGGTCTGTTGCGCTTGGACGTACTACCGAAAACCCGCACAACTGGCTGTTTTCCTCTCGTGTCCTCTTGCCCCCTATGCCAAAGCGATTTGCAAAACGAGTTTACGATGGCCCGTTGATGGCCCTGTTCCCGCTTTCTACGATTCAAGATGCTGAAATCCTAGTCATGTGGAAAGGGTCACATTGGACTGGCTACGAAAAATCCATTAGAAGACCTATCAAGGATCCGAACTCGGAATATTAAAGGATGAATCGGATAATGTCCAGAATTGATAAGCCATGATCAATCTGGGGTTCACAACCCCATCACTCATGAGTTTCCTTCCATCGTTTACTGGCCTCTGCCATTTACAACCCAAGTATACGCCGCGACGACAGCATCCCTGGATGCTGTAACTGACGTTCCGTCACGTGGAGCGTCGGTAATAGTCGAGTGCTTAGGCACAAGGCGAAGATCGATTCTCTTAAAGATCACGAATAAGCCGGAGCGCTTTCTTGAACCTGTCTCGAGAGGGGCACGGCGGGTGGAAAGGGCTTGACTGTGTTGGTCGTACATGCACTCGTATCTTGCAAGTGATAGTCTTGAATAGAGCAACAAGTTAATATCAGAATATCTGAAATCTGAGTTCCCACGGAGTATATTGTAACCTACCTGCTCTTGGTGTGCACGAACGTAGAACTTTCGTAACATGCGATGGATGACCGTCTATTTCAGCACGACATGAGCTCCTCTCAGTTCAAGGTAGCTCTCCGGAACACCTTGGCTCAATGTCCGAATAACCCCAAACACTTCTTTATCGTGGTACCTGAGCCGAGTTTTGGGATCTGTGTATGGCGCCGGAAGCCCCGTGATATCGCAGTAGCGCGTGTGCTGTGACGGATGCAGTGATGGAGCCGATTCAATGTTGGTATATGTCGCCGCTGGCCCCGATGGAAGCATGGCCCTTGCGTTCTTCTCCAAGACGAGCGTCGACAGGTTCTGCGCCGCCTGGGCGATGTTCGTGCGAGCGGAGCTGTCAACGGGCGTTTGGCTACCGTCGGTGCTGGGTTGTAAAGGAGTCGATGCGCCAGAGTTCGTCTGTGTCGCCATAACAGATGCCTCCTTTCTGGAGTTCTCAGAGATAAGTTGTTTGACGTTCTTGTTGCGACGCTGCGATGGCCGCCAGTTCGGGTTGCGGAAGGGGCGTCGAACCTGGGCGATGTCCAGGCGGTTGAGGAGTTGCTGATGTTCCTGACTTTCGGCAGGAGTAGGAGGGGCACCCATAATTGCTGATTATTTGTAAAAGGACGATGCGGATGGAGTGGACGATGCGCTGTCTTGACGTTGTAGAGAATCTTAACCTTGATGTCGCGGTAGAAGCTCAAAGTGACTGGAACATTGTCATCCGCTGATACGGTAACCGGACGACAAACGGCGGACACTCTCCAGTCAATTGGCACAGTGTTGGGATAACGGACTAGCTGTTAAGCAAGTTCAGGTCTCTGAAATTTGGAATTTTATTTTCACATCATTTTCTAAATACTTCCTGTCGCTCATGGGGCGCAGTGACAGCAGGAAACAAAGACATCTGTGGATCACGTGATAATTGCATCTCGCAATAAACAAACACTGACTCTACTGAGTACCTCGCGCCCATCTCGATAACAAGTCAAAAATGGTGGGTTGAAAATGAAGTCTTTCTTTACTTGGTAAACTGACAAATAATCTTAGGAGAGTCCACACGAGCACCAGCAAGCGCTATTGCTTTCTCGAATTATCACCAACATTGTATGTTACTATCGCCCACGCTGTGGAGGCCTGCATGACTGATTGCCGGTAGGAGAAACTCAACGAGTCAATTATGGTTATGAACAAGAGCCTTCAGGTACGCTTCTTCTGATCATGTTTGATAGGCCGATGCTCACTGTGGTCTATCAGGAGGTCAACATCCAGAACATGAACGTGGAGCTTGTGGCTCAGATGTTCAAAAACTACCAGTCTAATGTTCTCTTCCACTTGGAAGGTATGAGTTGTTCTACCTCTCAGAAGGCTACGGTCTTACTGATCTGATTAGCTACGGATAATCTGAAGGAGCCGCAATAAGGACGATGAAATTGCACGCCTGTTTCCCTGAATTTAGCTTATCATGAATGCTACGACCTCATATATCAAATCCTTATCATTCTTCTTCCACTTTTTCGTAGAGTCTTAGCAAGAATAGAGATAGAAGCGATTAAATGTAGAGAGCGCAAGACTAAGCAGTCAATAAAGAACTGTTATGCCGGCCTATAGCCAGTGCATCTCCGAAGAGACAATATTGATGTTGATTGCCTGTAAGTGGAGCAATCTCATCAACTGCAAGTCAGGCTTGGCAGTATACAAACGCCGCCAGAGTCGCTTGCCGACCAAAGCTGGGGATCCAGAGCATCAGATTCCTCCTTCCGATCGCCCTCAGTGTCAACGCTCACTCCGTCATCCACAGATTCAGAGCAGCAGCGTCGTGCGCATATTGGCTTTGTCAAACCGCTTCTATCCTGTTACCTCTTTCTCGCAACTGATTTGACGATGCGGTAAATCGCCCACGGACCCTGAGTTGCTGCTCCGATTTGTCTCCTACAACAAGTCGCCATGACGATTACCTCAGTGCAGACCCTTTTGCCCGGTCGCTTTGCGGTCACTCCCACCGAGAAGAACGCGGCGAAGCCTCCCCCGAAAATATACAATGTCCTGGATAATCCATTCAAAGGGTATCAACCGCCGCAACCCGATGGGTATGAACGGAGCAGGCCGAAGTCCTCTACAAGCGCTATCGTGATTGATAATGGTCGGTTATATTTCGCTTGTTTGTTTCAGATGACTGCTATTGCATACTGACTCTGGTTTTTCACTGCAGGATCAAGTCTTCTCAAGGCGGGCTGGTCTTTCGATAAGTCGCCGCGCTTCGTCCTCCCCCCTGTGATGAGTCGGTACCGCGATCGAAAGCTCAACAAAGCTTGTCAATTTATCGGTTACGACGCCTATGTCGATGCTACGACTAGAGGTCAGCTGCGGTATGCCTTTGATCCCGGTACAAGTGTGGTTGGAAACTGGGATGTGATGGAGGGACTGCTGGACTACGTGTTCATCAAGCTGGGGGTTGATGGCGCCAATGGAGGCGTTGATCGGCCTATCGTAATGACAGAGCCGATCGCGAATCTCAACTACCCCAGAAGAAGTGAGTAGATGCTGGTTGGCTGGTTCTGCAAGGACTGTGAGCTAACGCGCGTAGTGATGAACGAGATCCTCTTTGAGTGCTATTCAGCACCATCTGTCGCTTATGGAATCGACTCACTGTTTTCGTACCGGTACAACAAAGGCACCGATGGCCTGATTATCTCCTCGTCCCACACATCGACGCATGTCATCCCCGTCCTGAACTCGAAAGCTTTGCTCTCGAATTGCTCGAGGTTGAACTGGGGTGGCATGCATGCGTCAGAGTACTTGCTCAAGCTTATGAAGCTAAAATACCCTACCTTCCCCGCTCGAATGACCGAAAGCCAGATGGAAGATTTGGTTCACAAGCATTGCTACGTATCTACAGACTATGACCGGGAGCTGAGCAGCTATCTCGAGTGGACAGGGCTTGAGGATAGGGATCATGTCATTCAATACCCTTATACAGAGCATGTGGTGCCGGAGAAAACTGAGGAGGAACTGGCGCGGATTGCGGAGCGGAAGAAGGAGAGTGGACGTCGCCTGCAGGAGCAGGCCGCAAAAATGCGGCTCGAGAAGTTGATGAAGAAAGAGCAGGAGCTCGAGTACTGGAAGGACCTACAGCGTGGGCTTGCGTCTGAAACCAAGAAGGAAGCGAGACGCATCTTGGATTCCGAGGATCTGAAAGATGAGGCTCATCTTGACCGGCTGATTCGTGACCTCGAACGATCCATCAAACGCTCTAGAAACCGAGACCTAGGAGTTGAAGAGACTGAAGAACCTCCTGAAGATATGTCTTTCCCGCTTCTCGATGTTCCGGATGAAGAGCTGGACGAGGCAGGCTTGAAGGAGAAGCGCCACCAGCGACTCATGAAATCGAACATTGAGGCTCGGCAACGCGCCAAGGCCGAGAAGGAACGTGAGAGAGCTCGGAAAGAGGAAGAGGAGAGACTGGATCGGGAGAAACGTGAGAACGACTTCGAGAACTGGGTTGCCGAACGAAGAGCTGCTCGCCAGGTGGGTTGATTTTTGCGTGGAATTCGGCAACATAACTAACTGTTCGTAGAATATTCTGCAAAGGATCAAGGAGCGCGATAGGATGAAGGCGGATCTGGGTAATCGGAAGTCGCTCGCCAGCCAGATGCGTATGAAAACCCTTGCAAACCTCGCAGCGGATGGGCCGAAGAAGCGAAGGAGAGGTGGTGACGACGACGATTTCGGCGCCAACGATGAGGACTGGGGTGTTTATCGCACAGTGGCAACCGGAGAACAGAGCGACGAGGAGGAAGAGGAGGACCTCGGCGAAATGCTCAACAACGTTGAGAACGAGCTTCTTCAGTACGATCCTGAATTTACAGAGAACCACACTCTCGCTGCTCAGTCCGACTGGACCAAGAGTCTGGTACATGTTTTCCTGCGTGGACCCTGGCCCTTTGACCCTGAAAGTCAGCGTGAGGCTCATCAGATCCATCTCAATGTTGAGCGGATCCGAGTGCCCGAGGTCGTTTTCAAGCCATCGATTGCCGGCATCGACCAGGCTGGCCTCTTGGAGATTGCGGCCGGCATTGTCAATCAGCGGTTCTCTAAACCAGAGGACCAGGCCAAACTGCTGCGGGATGTGTTCCTCACAGGCGGCAACACTCTCTTCAAAGGTTTCGATGAGCGAATTCGCAACGAGTTTGGGAGTTACCTACCTGTAGATGCGCAACTGAATGTGCGCCGGGCCTCGGACCCGGTGCTGGACGCATGGAAGGGTGCAGCACAATGGGCTTCCGGATCGGGATTGAAGAATTACTCTGTGTCACGGGAGGAATACCTGGAAAAAGGAAGCGAGTACATTAAGGTACGTCAGGTGATGTATCTACTGGGACATTTGGAGTGGAATGACTAACGATACAATAGGAGCACGACCTGGGGAATGTCACCTCGTGGTAATATGGTTTGACTCCACGTGGATTCAATTCAGGTATTCACAACAAGGATGAGGACGAAGAGATCTACCTCTTACTATGTTTGTATTTATAGCGTGAGGGCAGGACTTGGGGAGTCTGGCGTCAGGGCAAGGGCATCACATCTGTGTGAAGGGTTTGCCCAGGTGCAGGTTGATTCAAAAGTCATACTACGAATCGCTTGTGATGTATTAGTGTCATGGCACTTGGATAGTAGAAAAAGACCCATCGCATAGATCATGCTTGACGAATTTTTCGATCTGTAACTGGCGGATCAAATGACCGTTGTACTGAGCAGACATTCTACTGCAGGTGTACCAGTACCTGCACAGCTAAACAGACCGACTCCTCCAAAGAGGGGGTTGAGCACAGAGTTTCAGACCTTCGGCAAGGGACTGGACCAGCATTCTTCTGGCCTTCTGGGGTAGGTAGAGAGACAGCAAAGAGAGTTCAATCATTCGACTCATGCGAGACTCTTGTCTGCGGTCGGACTTTTCTCGGATGGAAAGTGAGGTGACAAGAGGTTCAAATCATACGACGGTCTGCTCTCGCGTACGGTTATTCGGTCAATGAACTTCAAATGTCAATGCAGCGAACTAGCGAGGTCTATTGCTCTCGACGCAGATCTCAGCCCTGTAGACTAGAAAGTAAGTACTGCCTCTATTGACAAGGCTGAAAGTCAATTTCGTGGTGAAGCCGATGGATCAAATCCTATGCATAGGTGCCAACTGCCGACTGTTCCGCAATAGGACAAAGAAACCTGCACTGGTCTAGAGATTGTCGGATGCGCAACGAAGCTCACTCACATGATGGTTGCAGGTGCTGGCTGTAGGGTGATCTACTGGTCGGTTGTGCTTGTCGATCATGTCCTACTTCCTTGACCCTTCCCACTGTTGGCGCTACTGCTGGAGTCAAAGCCAATCCCAACGTCGATTCAATAATGAGAAAGACCATAGAGGAATATACTTCTAGAAAGTTTGAAAAGCATTTCTTGCGATCATCTGATTCTGTTACTCGATCGGTCGGTCCATCAATGGGATCTTCCTTGCAAGCCGTGTCTCCCTGCTTGGGAAGTTGCAGGCCTTTTGAATGAAGCTGGCCTGATATCAATGTGTATTAATGAGTCCGTTGTCCCTGACGATTCTGGACTTCTTTAGAGCCCAGTGTCATTGTTGAGTCAGTTGTACCTCTGATGATAACTGGTTTGAGAGGTACTCTCCCAGTAAGTGACTTGTGTGTTCCCCTCTCGGTCAATGCATGCAGATCGAATCCCCTGATACTTTCATCCACATTCCAGCCATTTTTGATGATGACAACAAGGTTCTGAATTGACTTCTGACTAGTGGCTACTAGCGGGATAATGATCAGCTTTCTCAAGTCTTCACGAAAAGCCGACTACAGACGATCTCCTCGATTCCGCGGGTTGCCGACTGGACATCTTTCCTCATGACTCACGCAACACCAGCTCAACAGTCTAGGCTGGTTGCTGTGATTCTACTCTGTTCTTGTTTGTGTACGTCCTCGGACTCCTTCCGGATACCTACACCTTCCCGTGCAGATCAGACCGGTTTCTGATGATCAATTTGCAGCCCGATGGGAACCCCCTTGATTGAGGATTAGGCTTCTCCCCCGCTTGTGAGACAACAGTATGCTGCATACCGCATTGACGGGATAGAACCCACTGGAACTGCCTTTGGGCTTTCTTTGAGCATGTACCCATTACCGTATGCAAGGTGAACTGGGTGAGCTCGGTTGCTTGTACCACCCATCTCCAGCCAATCACCGTCGTTGCTCGCTCACGGTGCAGATGAACAATCAAGTTCTGGATTCCTTGCATCGGAAAGAAAAAGGACTATGACGCATCTGGGGATAGCAAGCATGTCTGTATGCTTTGTGGACTATGCCCTTTGACAGCAGTGCAGTGTCCGTGACGCAGGACGCATGAAGCGAACCTGGATTCCGGTGGATTCGGCTCGCTCTGATACCCCTCGTTGATGTATAAAGTCTGCGTCCAGTCCGTCCCTAACTTGCTGTCTGTTGGTATATCCTATCGAGACACTGGTTGGCTCTGGGCACTCGACTACACCTCGCTGCAGCACAAACCCTATCCCTGCCTTTACATCTCCGTCCACTATCGAAAATAGCAGCCATGTTCTCCAGTTCCGTTGCTCGTCCGCTGCAGCTCATCACTCGCGTGATGCAGTGGTCCAGCGCTGTCATCGTGATGGGCATCACCTCCTACTTCATCCACCTTGGTCCTCGCGGCCAGCATCTTATCTACCAGGAAGTCATCGTATGTCCCTTCTTATGCATACCATCATGTCTGTGTACTGACGGGATAGTCCACACTGTCGGTCGCCTTCTTCCTACCAGCCTTCATCTCCCCGTTCATGCCAACGGCCCTGAGCAAATTCGTCCTTGTTATCGACGTCATCTTCTCATACCTGTATGCTTCTCCCCTTCTCTCTCACAGCCTGATAGAAGCTAACGGGACCCGAGCTGGCTCACGGCCTTCATCTTCGCCGCGCAAGACTACAACGAGCAGAACTGCTACTTCAACTCTCCCCCGTTCGTCGACTGCAGCAAGAAAAAGGCTAACGAGGCTTTCATCTTCTTGGCTTTGTATGTTCCTCATCCCTTCATTGCCTTGGTTAGATTTTACGGGAGTGGTAGCTAACGGTTTGAAACAGCTTCTTCACCTTCGCCGGGATGTTCCTCGAGATCGCGTCGCTTTCGGCATACCGTCGCGAGAATGCGCCCGTCCGCGAAAAGAACGGACACAGCGCTGCGCCTGCCACTACTACTGCGGCGGTCTAAGCGCCTGCGTTGTGATTGCTAACTGCTTTCTGCGGCTGGTATGACCCGTTGATGACGCCTAGCAATGAAGGATGAAGCTACGAGATGATGACGCACGAGCCGGGATTGTCGTGATGCTCGTCTAGAAAGAACGATGAACGGGTTCGTATGAGGGAAGCGACGTGTGGATTTCTCTGATGACTTTAATGTTTAGTACTAATACCCATAACATACTCCTAATGATGTGATGTAGTCGTTGGTTGAATGATGTGGAGATACCCACGTTTGTTCACTTGCAACGTCTCAGATAACCAATTATTCAGTTGATGAGGCATCCGTTGATTGATTTGAGTTTGTATTGCGAGACTTCGGTTCTGTCTTAGAACCTGTGTGCAAGTACTCGCTCTATAATACCTAACAGACATTAAGTGAAATGGTTTACTTTTGAAGGTGAATCTAAGGTGAGTGTCGTATGAGGCTTCGGAAGACAAACAGTAAGCAGAATGCGGTACGCACCAGCTCGATTCAAAAATGGCCAGGCGGGCATGCCGATAAGGTCGCTCGGGAAGTTGAGAGATTCCTGAATGAAAAGCCTGGGAGGAATAACAGAAACGAGGCGAGGAGGAACTTTCTGCGAATGAAAGGGAAGGCGGGATAGATCAGGACAACCTGGTTCTCGAGCTGAAAGAGCTGACGGCATACTGCATCGAGAGCAAGAATACAAGGCTAAAGCTGAAGACAAGGCTAAGAGAAGTCGGGTGGGAATTTGGCGAAGTAACGAGGACAGTCCTCGATTATCATGGGGTCACCATGTAAGTAGGCAGTCTAGCGTCCATGCCTCAGTAATGAACGGGCCGGCAGGCCTCGATGTATTCTTTTAATCGCAATGCTCAATGCGTTGTACTTCAATTCTATCGTACACTCCGAGGATCTATGTACATCAAAGCCAACCAAGATACCGCATGAACAGCCGGAACTGGTCACGTTTACGCATGCAAAGTCAGTGTCTGGTATAATGCGACAAATGAACGCTCAAAAGCAAAGGACAACATCTAATCATATACTGGCTCGGCGGGGAGCCATGGTACGTTGTAGCTTCTTCTTCTCCTCGGTCTCCTCCGGCAAAGGGAGGGACCCCTCGGTTTTCAGCTTCTCCAGGAACTGCTTGCCAAAGGCGTAGCCGACCTGGTAGATCTCATCAAACTTGCCAAACTCCAGCGTGCCGTATCCATCTATAGGGGGACGCATGTACAGACAGCCCGGGATGTTCTTGGCGCGTTCCAGGTTGTCAATAGACGAGACGTAGGCCAGACGTGCCTGGATTTCGGATAACGTTGGCGGATTGGGGCACGAGGAGAACGGGTTCCAGCGATTAAAGACGGACCAGAATCCGGAGAGGGAGTCTCCATAGACCTGAGGTGTGTTGTCGTCGATAGAGCCCACGTCAACGGCGAAGATCACATCCGCACCGAGACCCTTCATATGGTCGACGGTCAGATTGTCAATGTAGCCGCCGTCGAGGAGCATGCTTCCCTCGTCGCAAATCGGCGGAATCAGACCCGCAAGCGACATGGATGCACGCACATAGCGCCAGACATATCCAGACGAATGGTACTCGGGGCGCGATTTGCTGATGTTGGTAGTGTTGCAGTAGAACTCGAGCCAGAAGTCCTCGATCTGGCTGTCACCAAAGGTCTTGAAGATTCCACGGTTGAACTCGTGGCCGGTCGTGTAGGAGACCGTCGGGTACGTCAGATCTAGCGCGAATCGCCACATGCTTCCCATGCGGCCAGCAAACTTCTTCGCACGGCCATACATGGGAACCACGTCCGCATCTCGAGCATACAACGCACCAATGAACGAACCGATCGATGTGCCGCCGATGATGTCAACAGGGATACCGGCCTCTTCGAGCGCCTTGATCACACCAACGTGCGCAATACCCTTGCTCCTCCTCCACCAAGCACCAAACCAACAGCTCTACCACACAACCGACGCGCAAGACGATGGAAATCGCCTTTGAACGGGGATTGAGCGGAGTAAAGAGGTGTCTGGCGAATCCTCCGCGATGTGTACTTTTGGATTTCAGCCTGCAACACCTGGACCCGTTGTTTGAGGACTGTTCCGAAGCGCTTGGTTTCCGGATGCGAAGGCTCTGCCGTCAGCCGGAAGGCCATTTGAATGTGATGGTGGCCGCCATTGATCCATACTCGGTTCTTCAACCACCGCCGAGTCAGCCCAGGCGGACAATAGCGCTCCGAGTGCAGCAATACGAGCTCTTTCCGAGCTGTAGACTTCATGCCAAGCAGGAACCTCTCGTACTCTCCAATACTGGGGGACGAGTCGGCCAGACCGACCAGAAGAATGCAATCGGCCTGCGTGATGCATGTTTGCGTCCACGGAGAGCTCACGTTAGTGTCAGCGATGTAAAGAACCATGCCATACTTCTCTTCTAGATCGGCAAGGTATTGGGATAACTTGAGCTTGCCCATCTTGCTGAAGGCATGGCGCCCTAGGTGATTCAGAATGGCCGCCTGGTTGAGCGATGTAACCCCATTCGTCACTCCAACTTGATGAAGAGCGTGCAATAGTCGATTACCGAATTCGACTACTGGAACGCCCGCTGTCACAGGCAGAATGCCCACGGTACGGAGATTGACGGTCGAGGTTGCGGTTTGCACACCACCAGCGTTGCTTCGTTCGACACCTTTCTCGGTCACCGGGCGTTCGACCAAATCCCGCATCCGTTGCGCAATCAGTTTGGAGACCTGAATGGTAATTCCTGGGTGTTCCTGGGCGAGGCTGTTGAAGAGCGATCTTGGGAACTTGGCCAGTTCGGTATCACGGATCGCATGAAGAGTAGCCGGGCGCGTGGACTCGGTCATCACCTCGAGCTCGCCCAAGCTTTCTCCTTGGCCATATTCGCCAACGACGGCTAGTTTGTTGCCTGGACTTTCAAGGACCGACCGCAATCGTCCATTCAAGACAAGATAAATTGCGTCGCTCTCGTCGCCTTGGTGGTAGATAACTTGGCCGGCGTTCACCTGTACCCATTCGAGAGCGAAATCGATGTGGAGGAGCAGACGTGGAAGGATACTTGTCAGCCTCTTCGCAAGCGTCAGCAAAGCGATTGGATACCGCTCCGCGATGCGCTCCAAGGACGCCCGTGGGAGGAAGCCAACGTAGACGTCCGTCTTGGCAACCACGTCGGTGTAAGATCTATAGGACGCTACTGCTCCAACGTAGCCTTGAATACCGCCGGGTTTGATCAGATACAGGGATTTCCGAGACTGCCTTCTTCGTCGAGAATCGCTGGCAGCTGTGCCGCCAGCGCCAATCGAGTTGGCGGTTGTCGTCCGCTTAAGGGTCGGGAAAGGCTCCTTCGAAGCTGCTGGTTTGGACACACCCACGAGATCTTCCCCTTTTTCGACAATCGGCACGCCTACATCCAAGAATCCATCGATCACGTAGTACAACCCAGGGTGGCGCTCTCCCTGCTCCACCAAAACCGAACCCTTGGGGAAATAGACGATCTCGATGTCGTTACGGAGCTCTTCCCGCAAGTTGATCACTGGCGATGTGCCTCCTGCACTCGTTACAGACATGGACATCAACGACTCCGTCTCTCCATCTCCCGAGCCTTCGTATGGGTCAATAAAGCCAAAGGCGTTGTTGGTGAAGATCGCCTTCTGACGTCGGGAATCATAGGAAAGAAGCTTCGGAGAAGCCTCGCCAGAATGGCTGCTTTTGCGCAAAGCGTCACGAGTACTACTCGTGAGACCGATCCCCTTCATGATGCAATCCAAGATGCACTCGCGGAACAGCGCGTCCTCGTCCGTTGTGTCTTGTCGGCGGAAAGTATGACGCGCTTGCATGGCAGGAAGCCGGAAATGGGTGTTCTCCTTTTCAGCCAAAGGAGACTGTAGCTTTGCAGGAGGCTGCTCATATCTGGGGCCGAACCTGGAGGATTGAATGGTCGATAATAGGTCGCCTGGGCTAACTCCATATGTGTCGTGCTCAGCGGGTGCACTCTCCGGGGTAACCACGGTGGCCGCACGTCTGGGTGTCATCATCCTGACTTGCAGCGCAGCATCCTTTCTCAGGAAGCTGCTCGATCGGCGTCGTCTACCCGCAGATGGATTGTGTAGGGCAATTCCCTTCGTGACTTCCTCAGAGCCTAGGCGATCCCGCTCCTTGATGAACTTGTCTTTGAGGCGATCCAGAGCTGCGCCGCGCATGTCGTTTGGCAGATCATACGTGGTAAACTTGGTCATTTGCTTTTCAATTCCAAGCACCTCGTTGCTGAGACCAAGATAGGAATGCGCCGTTGCAAACGTAACTCTCTGTAGGCGGGTGAGGATGACCTGAACGATGTGGGCGGTTGCCCTTGGGTAGACCCTGGTCAGTCGCCGGAAAGCGCTGGCTGGGATGATTGCGATTGTGGTATCCACCATAGCACGGGCAACAATGTCAGGATGGACCGACTTCCGGCGTTTTCTGCTAGAGTGCTTCCGACTTTCATGGTGCTGCTGATGGTGCTGGTCACCGGAAGGAGGAGTGCGGCTCTCTCCCAGATGCAGCGGGGGCACGGATGGCAGATCTCCGTTGGTGATCATATTAGAGGCATCGTCGCTGTGGTCTTGAAAGCCCAAGGAAGGGCTGTCCATCACTCCCCGAGGACTCGTTGGGATCGAGTTGGGTACACGAGCGGCGCGAAGGGCGATGCTGGAGGAACTGGAACTCGAGCTCTCGTTCTCCCGTAGTTGAATGTCCTCTGTGAACAGCGAGAGAATTGAGAATAAGGACGACATCGACGCGCCGTTCTTGACCTCGGTCAGCAATTGGTATCCCTGCTTGCCATCGATATGGTGTTCCTCGTCCGAGGATTCGGCTCCGAGATGGTGCAGCTCCTCATCTGTGTCCGACTTTCCATCTCGCATGGACTTTACAAAAATCTGGACCAACCCGTCGACTACTAGACAGAATCCCTTTTCTTCCTCCAACATAAGCGTTTCGCCCGCGATCAGCTTCCTGGTTTGCATTGTCCGGGTCAATTCGTGGAAGACAGGCCGTTCCAGGTACCCAAAAACTTTGATGGCGCTGAGGAACTCATCCAGGTAATTGGCCAGCCCTGGCTTCGAATCTCCTTCTTGTACATCGGGGAAGAGGTCGACCTGCGGTTCCTTACGTTGGGGCTCGGGAGGTAATCGACTGTACATGTTCAGAAAGCGGTACCGGATAAACCAGCTGATGGTCGAAACCATCGCGAGAACGATTAACAAGCTGTTAATCCAATTGAGGCAGTGGTCAGCATATTCCCCTCACGAACGGGACGGCGGCTTTGGGGACAATCTTACAGCGTGGTGAAGTTCATTGTGAACGTCAGGCTCATGGAAAAGAGAGTGAACAGCCATGTGGGCAATGTGATGGTAGAAAAAGTGATGACCCAGTATAGAACGCTTGGAATGACCTGGAAAAAGAAGGAAAAAACCCATCCGATCCACCCCGCCATGGTTGTAGGCACTGGGGGTAAAGGCGGGGGAGGAAGATGGGAGATGCTATAGCTGGCGGTTACGGCGGAAGCAGACGTTGCGAGGGACAGTGCGACGGCCGTTGATGAGGAGGACAAGGGAGACAGAGAAGGAGAAGGAGAAAACGAGTGCAGGCCAGTAGAGTCGACCAATGTCACTCCGTCGGCCATAGCTGATTTCGTCCCTGTCTCTTTCTGTCGGGTTCACCTGCTTTTTTTTTCCCTTCTGGGGCCAGAGTTGGAGAGAATCCACTAGTAACGTCTAGCCAAGGTTCCGAGGCCAGCAATCAAGCTCGACGTCATTCGCACATGCGGAAAAGACTAACGACACTGGAGAATAAAAATGCTGTATCGAGGGAAAGTCAAGCAACCCATCCTCAACCAGGCATGTTGAAACGTGCAAGAAGACCCTCTTTTGGCTGGTTCATGTGTGAGGAGATCTGAGGGGTGAAGGAGGAGAGTTAAAATGAAGCACGAGTCACGGTTGCAGGGATCAAATCGTCGAAGCACACACCGTTGCGCTTGTGATCGTCATGGAGATGAAGCTCATCCGCCAATAATCCTGCAACGATTGAGGAGAATGTCAGTTCTGCAGACAATATAGATGCCTTGATGTTTAGATATTTATTGTCAACTCAACAGATGTGGTTGTTATGACCTTTGATGTTTATCTACCACATTGTTTCCTCTGTTTCGGTGAGTTTCTACGGAGTTACATATATTTGACCGCTCCTCGCCCGAAACACCAGCAGCAGCGGTTTGGCAGCAATCGGATAACAACAAACATCTTTGATCCTACATGGACAGACATCTGAAGTAGGAAATTGAATTTAAGCATGCTTATCGGCTCTGGACTAGACGCCTTTTGACAGCTGGGCCGTAGTGAGGTGCCTGAGTTCTCCTGCATGAAGTGACAATCACTTGGAATATAAAGAACATTTTGGACATCAATGACTTCCGCTTCAATATCTTAAATCCATATATTCTACGATTATAAATGTTTCTTAAAATCTCTATTCTGTAATTGTAGCCCCCCTCAGCTCTTTTGTATACTCTTCGGTGTAGTCGTACGTAAGTTCGCTGCTCCTTTTTCTGCCCTTCTTGGCTCAGTCCGGAGACCTGGCCGCCCGTTACTCATTCGCTGGAGGCGTCTCAGGTGTCCCTTCATGATCCCTCTCATTGTTCCTCTCAATCTTCTTCTTTTCCTTCTACTCTTCGTTTCCGACCTTCTTCACTTCTGTATCTCGTTCGTCAGTTTTGTCGTGGTCCTGGCTCGCGGGCCCTCCACGGTCATGTTTCAGGTACAGTGTCTCACGTCTATCAGTGTGTTTTGATCGAGTATTGGAAGTATCCTTGAACTAACGTTGTAATCCCATTCGATCTACAGCGCATACGTGAGGCGATCGATTCCCGGATCGCAGAGGAACAGGCCCGCCAGAGAACCTCCCAAGATGTAGTCACCCGATCCAACTCCGCTCGTCGCCCTACCCGCAATCTGTCCCCGGGTCGACGACCTACCCGCCCCGACGCAACACAGGCACTCCCGTCCGCACCCCTGATCCCAACGAGTTTGAGCCGGAGTTCGCGATCGGTGATGATGAGGGATCTAGTCGATCTGTCACCCCTCGGTTGGAGTCTGCAGGCGGATCCGAGACGCCGTCGGCAAAGGACGCTGGGGAGGACAAACCATCTACAGATGAGCCGTCGGCTGGGAAGGAGGTGCCGACGACGGAGGGAAACCAGCTGTCGTCGGAGCTACCTCCGGAGATCAGAGTCAAGTTACGCAGACTGACCAAGTTGGAATCCCGGTATCAAGGTTCGACATACGGCCCGCGGATATGGCTGCGGAGCGGCTGCTGACCTTGTTTTGCACACAGAACTGCTCAAAGCGTACCGTCTGGCCCATGCACGTGTCCTGTCGATCGAGCCGTTTGAAGCCGCACTACGAGAAAACACTCCTCTGACGTCGATTGCCGATCCGAAAGCTCTCACGGAGTACTTGAATCAGATCATATTGAAAGGGGACATGGTGATTGAGGAGCTCAAAAGAGTCACTACGGAAAGGGACGACTACAAGAAAAAGCTGGAGGAAGCGCAGAAGTCGACAAAAGAGGCTTGGGACGAGGTCGCCAATCTCAAGAAGGACACGACGCAAGGCGCCAAGGAGGACAAAACCGCCGCTACTGAAGATACCGCCTCAAAGAAAGAACCGCCAGCGAAAGAAGAAAGCGAGGAGTTCTTTTCGTTCGATAACGAACTACCCCGATTGGAATCTGAGCTGAAGGAGAAGCAGGAAGAGGTTGAAACTCTCAAGTCGCAGGTCGAGTCGCTCAAGCGCGATCTTGCCGTCGCTCGTGAGTCAACGGAGGGCATGGTGCAGAATCTCGAATCCGCAACTCGCGAGCTCGTGGAATTGAGAGATATTAGAGACAAACAGGATTCGGAAATCAAGGAGCTGAAGGGTACCAAGCAGGCTGAGGTTGCCGATGTTAAAGCCAAGCTCGCGGAATCCGAGGATGCCATTGCCAAGGCAGGCGAGGAGGCGGAGAGACTAAAGGCCGAGTTGAAGCAGAAGACCGAAGAAATCGAGAAGCTTCAGGATCAAGTCACGCAGCCGAAGGACAATGACCAGCAAAAAGAGTTGCAGGAAAAGTTGGAAGATGTCGCCAAGGCGAAAGATGCTAGCGAGAAAAAGTTGGGAGTTCTCCAGGGCCTCGTGGACAACCTGCGGTCTCAGCTGAAAGACACGGAAATAGTGGTGTCGGATCTTAAGGCTGACATGGGAAGTAAAGTCGAAGAGCTGGGTAAGCTGCAGAACGTCGTTGACTATCTAAATAACAACCTGAAAGACAACGCCGAGTGGCAGCAAACCAGAGATCAAGCGGCGAGTGGACAGTCCCCCGACTTTGACCATCTTCGAAGAAGCCTGGCACCTCCTCAAGAAGAATCGGGGGTGGCAATTTGGCTACAGAGCCAGAGCCCCCAGCAAATGGCTCGACCGGCGGGGCGGGCGCGGGTAAAAAGAAGAAGAACAAGAAGAAGAAGGGCGGAAAGGGCGGAGAAGATACGGCCAAGGCTACCGGTGCCGCTGTGGTCAAGGACAAGGAATCGCACGCAGCAGAGTCCGATCAAGCAGCTTCGAATTTGGCCGAACTCGAGCAGAAGATTCAGACGCTGACACAGCAGCTGGAAGAGAAGGAGGCAGCAATCGACCGACTGAGCTCCAAACTTAAAGGAGAGGAGGACCTCAAAGAGGAAATCGAATCCTTACGCGACGATTTACTTCACCTTGGCCAAGATCATGTCGAAGCAAAGGACAAGATCAAGGAACTAACTGCAGAAAAGAAGGCTCTAGAGGAGACGGTCTCCAAGTTGGAAAAGGAATTAACCGATATACGGACGAGCCATGCCTCCAAGAGCGCAGACTCGGAGAAGGTGCACAGCGATCTGAAGGAGGACTACGAAAACCTGAAAGTCAAACTCACCAACCTGGAGACGGAGCTCTCTGCCGCTCAGCAACTGGCCGCTACCAGGTTCAAGGATCTGACGGATTTGCGGGAGACTTTGCAGAAATTGCAACCAGAACTGAAGAGCCTGCGGGCGGAATCTTCGGAACTGAAGTCGACGAAAGAGGCCCTGGCGAGCAAGACGTCTCAATTGAGGACACTGGAGGGTAAACATGAGGAGTTACGTGCCGAAGTGAAGACTCTCAAGTCCACAATTTCCGAGCGCGACGCCGAGGTGAAGACCCTCAACCAGAAGATCAGACAGGAGACAGACAGTCGTCTCAAGGCCGAGGAGAATCTGACCGTTGCTCAATCTGACTTGCGATACTCAGAGAGCAAAAAGCAGGAAGCCGTTGAAACAAAGGAGAAGATTGCAGCAGACCTATCCCGAGCGCAAGATGAGCTCAAAACCGCTCGGTCGCAACTGCGGGAGGTTGAAAACAAGGTCACTCAATTGAACAAGGAGCTTGGTGGTCTGAGGGAGGAAATCCAGCTGAAGACCGCACAGCACGCCAGCGCGCAAAGTCTGATGAACAGTATGCGCGACCAGAGTGCTGAGCTAGCGATGCAAATGAAGGAGGCTCGGGAACGTTGTGAGAGCTTGGAAGAAGAATTGGCTGATGCTCATCGCTTGTTGAGCGAGCGGACGCGCGAGGGTGAAACCATGCGGCGCTTGCTCAACGATATTGAGGGCCGCGCCGAGGCCAAGGTGCGCGACTTCAAGGAGCGGATGGAGGCCGCCATTGAAGAGCGCGATCGGGCAGAAGACGAGGCCAGCGCTCAGGGTCGGCGCCGGGCCCGAGAGCTAGAGGAGCTCAAAACCAAGGTTAGAGAAGCCGAGAAAGCACTGAGAACGGCGGAGGAGGACAAGGAAGAGCTCGAACGATCCCAAAAGGACTGGAAGCGCAGACGGGATCAACTCGAGGAACAGTCAGAGCGCTCAGCGCAGGAGCTCAACGACATCCGCCAGGCCATGGCACGGTTACGTGACGCTTTAGACGAAAGCGAGAAGCAAGTCCGTGATCTGGAGAAAGAGAAGGCCGAGCTGCGTCGTTCCGTGGAAGAAACGAATAGCCGACTGGAGAAGCTTCGTAAATCCAACCGGATATTGTCGGACGAAACTCGTGCAGCCCAGAACCCTCAGTCCTCGCGTTCATCGATTGACTCGGGAACGAGAAAGGCAGCTGCATCTCCCGTGTCGAAGGGCCGTAGTCCATCGACGCAGAGGAGTGAAACGCCGACGGGAGCTCCGATTGACTACATCTACTTGAAGAACGTGCTCCTGCAATTCTTGGAACAGAAGGACAAGAACTACCAGAAGCAGCTGATTCCGGTCCTGGGTATGCTGCTTCATTTCGATCGGTACAGTAACCCTATTTCTTTAGCTTCAGTTTGATGCTGACATCTACGACAGAACGGACGAGCAAAAGTGGATGGCTGCCATTACATCCCGATGATTAGCATGAGCCCGAGTCGGCTATCTCCTAGTCTTTTGAGCGTGTTCATCATTTGACATTCAAAGAGGATATAATCTTGTCTTCCTTATCCCGTATGTGTATACTCCATAGATGTCATCGGCAGGGCGTGGGGTGTGGTCGATATAATTCCAGAACCGAAGGTGGGGTTTCGTGGCCAAGCCTTTATGTCTTCAGCCACATAAATAGG